CAGACGGAAGAAGAGGGACAATGAAACAGATACAACAGGACACGTTCCACAAGTACCGTCTTGTGGGCTGGAGCAGGCCCTGCTGGGAGGGCCCAGGCACGCCCAGGGTGGGTGGCACACATGGCGGCCGGGCTTTCCCCTGGGGAGCGGTCGCTGTCCAGCGGGCTTTGCTTCCTGACCGTGCCGAAGGGCAGGGTGAACCGGAGACTGCACGGGCCGGGACCTGCCGCCTCCGCCCGACTTCCCATACCAGGAGGACACTTTCAGGACGGCCGATGATGCTGCCACCGCCGAACTCGGTGTGCCGCACACCAAGCCTCCGCTCTCGCTGGCAACGAACACGGAGAGCGCGGAAGCCTTAGTTCTGATCGCCCCTCGAGAGCAAGGGTCTCCTCTTTTCTTGTGCTGTGTGGCTATTTTCAGAGCATTTGTTGACGCTGGGTGGCCTTCTCATTATTCCACGGGTCATCGATGAGGGAGAGAAGATGATTGGTGGGTGGATGGGGCTGTTTTCCGCCCGACGGCCAGCCTGCCCGGCACAGGATTACGACTCTTTACCTTGCTGCTCAGTGAGTCACGGACGGCAGAGCTATTCCAGCCGCTCTTAGCAAAGGCCCCGCACAGCCACACTCGCTCTTCAGCAACGGCCCCGGCCCGGGCTTTCGCTTTCTCCTGGCCTTTCACTTTGGCGGGCTGCGTTCCTGATCGTGAAATCTCAGAGCAAGACCTGGGCCCTGCGGGTGGAGCCCGGGCCTCCAGCCCGGGGACTTGTTTGTTTGCTTTTTTTAGAGTATAATGGAGGGAGGCAGCGCTCCCCTATGCTTACCAAGGCCTTCCCGTGCTTACACCCTTGGCAAAATAAGATTCCGGAGAACCTTTCAGAATTCCAACACGTACTTAAAAAGAAAGAAAGAAAAATACACGGAAGTAGTTGTAGCAGTGACACTAGAGCCAGGGGAGCGAACGCCCAGAAACACCAACGCAATCCACGTTTGGAAAGCAGGGAGTGAGCGCCCCAGCTCTCCCGCGGGACAAGCAAGGGACCAGGTCCAGGAAGCTACTGGAGAAGCGGCCGCCCCACCTGGCGGGGCATCTTCCCCCCTTCCCTGTCCTCCGCCGTCCCTCTGTGATCTCTGGGTGTGTGCTGCCCCTGGGGTGAGGGGCTAGACCCAGGCAACACTCACCGACATGATTAAGGCTTATGCACATGCCCTGGACATATAGACAAATCGGCGATGCTGGGATTCCTGCCTGCAAACCGCGAGGGGCTCCCGGGTGGCCGCCCGGGCTCTCCCCGGCCCCGCATTTCCTTCTTCGGGGGGGAATAGATTACCCAGTCACTGAACAGCACCGGGGAGGGCGGGGGGGGGGGTGTAAATATTTAATCCTGCTCATCTACTGGGAAATTCAATGTTTTGGTTCCACCGTCTGTCTGTCTTTGAGACGCTTATCCACATAAATGTCTGTCTTAAAGACTGCGAGCTTCGGGAGGCTGGGATTGCATTTAAATTGTCTTAATGCTATGAGAGGGGGAGGGAGGGGGAGGGGAGATTCCCATATGGGAAGATAGTTAATAAATTCATATTTAAAAAAAATCTCGAGGAAGCAGGGGAAAGAAGAAATTTCCATCTCTTCACAGCTTCCGTCTCGGACGCCTTCTAGCAGATTCCACGCCGCAGCCCGCGGACGCCTCCCTCCGCCCCCTCTGTGAGTGACCAGGGCCGCTGTGGGAACGGCCGGGGCTTTGATCAGGAGTCTCCCCTCCTCTCCTCTCCACACTCGGCCGGCGGCCGGCCACGCAGACCGAGTAAGAAGCCTGTGGAGTGGCGCGCTCCGCGCCATCCCGGGGAGAACGGAAGCAGAGCGGATGGGCGGCGTCTGCATTCCGCCAAACCGCTCGGTCCCCCCTTGGCCAAGGCCAGCATCCATCTGGCGGCCCGACCCTCTCCCTCCACAGCACCCAAAGCCCGTTTCCTCTTCCGTCTCTGGCCACACCGTCCTGGCCTTTCCAAGAAAGCTGGCTGTCTTTGTTCCAGCTCCCAAGTCCTGCCCCCGTCCCGACTCTGGGAACACTCCCTCCCTCGCTCTGGCCTAGCTGCAGACCTCTGACCTTATCACCTACATTGTGGCCAGGCCGGGGCCCAGTGGGAGATGGGCTGGCACCCGCCCGCACCCCGCCAAGCACGCCGCGCCACAGGAATCCTGCCGAATGCCTGCTGGGTCTGGTTGCCCCTCTGCTCAGGACGCCCGCCCCCTGCCGCTCACCAACTGTCCCTCCCCTCCAACCGTACCAGCTTCCGCTCTGCTCTCGGATGTACCAGCCATGCTCCCCCCTTCCCCTCTCCGCTGCCCCCTGCCCCTTTCTATCTCCCAGTGTCCTGTGCTCGTGGCATCCGGTCTCTGCTGATGGGAATACTGGTGGGTGGATGAAAGGATGGGTGGACAGATGGATGGATGATGGACAGGTAGATGGATAATGGATGGGTAGATGGATGGATGATGGATAAATGAATAGATTGATAGATGATGGATGGATGGATGGATGATGGGCAGATGGATGGATAGATGATAGATGAATGAGTGAATAATGTGATAACAGAGGGTGAATGGATGGATGGATGGATGGATGGATGAGTGGATGGATGGATGGATGAGTGGATAGATGGATGGATGGATGAATGGATGGATGGATGAGTGGATGGATGGATGAATGGATGGATGGATGAGTGGATGGATGGATGAGTGGATGGATGGATGGATGGATGAATGGATGGATGGATGAGTGGATGGATGGATGGATGGATGGATGGATGGATGGATGGACAAAGGCTCAATGCCAAAGGCAGAAGCAGACTCACTAAAGTTAGGACACCTTTTTTTTTTTTTTTTTACCCTTAAAAGATTACTTCATTTTTGGGCTGAAAAGAACTGGCAAACAAGCCGTGCTGTAATATTTTGAGAACTTCAAGAGCTGAGATACTATGCCAATTAAAACATGCGTGTGCTCTGTCACAGTGTTCCTCCTCTGAGCGCCATCACCCCGCCTCTTCTGAAAGCCGTTAGACCTCGAGTTCCTCAGTAACTGTACGGCACCGGTGGCCCCTTTCCCGGCTACGCCCCCCATCTTGCATCCACTCTGCTTTCCACGCCCCGCGGTTTCAGGTCTTCATCCCCTGTCCCCGTGGAGAATTTTGTACTTCCAAAGGAGCCAGGCTCCTGTCCTACAACAAAACTGGCCAGAGACAAGAAAGAAAGAAGCGGACCCAAAGGCTCTTCGGGCCACAAGGAAGTGGGGTGGTTCATTACAGGCTTCTCTGGCCTGGTGGGGGGGGGGGGCTCGGCTGGGTTGAGCCTTTCTAGCAAGGAAGGGTGAGGCTCTGAGACACCAGACCCTGTGTCCTGGAGGTAAGCGTCTCTGGGGCTCACAGGCCAATGTATGTATTCACCACGCTCAGTGCCGCAAATGTATTGACCCCCCGCCACCCCCCACGGTTCCATCAGCCCCGTAACAGGGCTGTTGGGCGGCTTTCCAGAAAGGTCCCCCATGGCCTCACCCATCATGGCTGAAATCCACCCACAGCTCAGCCTCGCAACTTGCAGAACCACCAGGGCCTCCTCAGCTTATTACACGAGGTCCTGAGCATCCCTCGCGGTTTCTGCGTTTTAATGTTGTGTCTGCACCTTGAGCAGGAGAGTCAGCAGGAGGGAAGCGGTGGATGGATTCCTGACACCAGTCTCTGAGACGAGGGCCGGGTCGGAGGCTCCGCTACCACCGCCGGCTGACTCCTTCCTCTACCCGTTCCCCGCCTCGGTTCTTCCCGAGTCCCGCTCTCTGCGTGGGGCAAGCCGCTGGCTTCCGGCCCTTTCCGCATGGCTCCATGCGGCAAGCGTCCTGGTTAGCTCCTGAGCCTGTCTGAGTGTCAGATTGCTCCACGTGCCCACTGTTTAGGAACCCGTTCTAGGAACTCATGAGGACAGAAACACATCCACTTACTCAGTGAAGTGACGGGAGCTACCGCACATGGGGAGGAGGGAGAGAGTGGGGGGGGCCACGGGGGGGACACAGGTAGAGCTGGTCTGGCTTCTGTCCCTGAGCATGTTTTTAAAACTCAAGGCTGGTGCTCTAGAGCCATAGATGGACTTCTGGCTTTTTGGTGGCTCCTTTGAGATCGGCATCTCAGGGGCTTTCCTGCCCGGGCTGGCTTTGAACCGTGATCCTCAGCTCTTGGCCTCCTGAGTCGCTGGGATGACAGGTGTGAGCGCCGGGTGCTCCACCCAGCTTTGACTCCCTGGCGATCTGCCCTGGGAAGTCCTGGAGGACGGGGTCCGGTTGGGCGTCTGTAACCTAACTGCGCTCTCATGAATTGCTCTGGGCTGCCTTCCACGCTCCCAGCTCATATCTCCCATCACGGGATCTAACCGGGAGAAAGCTCAGTGGTGCCCTGTCCAGGAGGAGGGACGCCGGGGCAGGGGACAGAGCGCTCTGGGTAACTGCGCGGTGGACACCAGTCCTTTCCAACAAGCCTGCCCACGTCCCCGTCCAGAGGGTGGACTCGGGAAGGAGGAACTCATCAGACTTAGCAAAAGACGCCGTGGCCTTGGCCCAGGTCAAAGACCCAGCAAGGAATAGAGGCGTGACATGGTAATGGCGATCATCTCCCACCTGTGACTAATCCCTCTGGGTGGCAAATGCCCGCGAGATAGACGCTCACTGCAGACAGCCTGCGGGCTGGCGGCGGGAAGGCCGCGGGCCGGTGGGAAGGCCGTAGGCCACTGGGAAGGCTGCCCTTCCTCACGGCCCAGTGGCGGGAAGGCCTAAGGCTGGCGGGAAGGCCGCAGGCCGCCCTTCGTCAAGGCCCAGTGGCGGGAAGGCCGAAGGCTGGCGGGAAGGCCGCAGGCCGCCCCCTTCGTCACGGCCCGGCCCGGCCCCGGGGCTGTGGCAGACCCACCCGGCCCAGCCTCCCCCAGAACCCGGCCCCGCATGGAGGAAGGCTGCTCACTGTTGCGGGGCTTCTCCTCGTCCAGGCCTTCGTCCTCGTTCTCGGGGTCGATGTCCTCCGCCTGCGTGATCCAGTCCAGGTAGCCCTTGAGGTCCTCTTCCAGCTGCTGTTTTTCTCGCAGCTTCTGGAAATCTCCCCGGGCCTTGGCCTTCTCCCTCTCTTTGGAGAACTCTCTGCGTGTGTGTGTGTGTGTGTGTGTGTGTGTGTGTGTGTGTGTGTGAGGGAGGGAGGGCGGGAGGAAGAGGGGCGGGCAGGGGAGGTAAGGGGAGAGAGACAGGCATCAATTACTGTGTGCTGAGAACTGGCCCCCACGCCCCGCTTCCCACAGACAGACAGCCGTCTCCCACCAACCCAGGCCCCTCACAGACGGAAGAGACAGGAGGAGGCGTTCTCAACGTAGCCACGCACATTCTAACGAGGGGGCCCTGCTCTTCCTTTCCCTCTCTCCTAGAGCATGGAAAACCTTCCAATGAAGGACTGCCCTCCAAAGACCTGGAACTGTCTTGACTAGAAACGCCCTTCCGGAACAACCGGGGAGCGCAGGAGCCCCTGGGAGGCTAGCTTTACTCCTCTTTCGGGGGCACAAGGCTTAGGGCAGAGGCGTGTCAGGGCCAGCTCCCACGCGGGGAGCCTGAGCGTGGCCACGGGGCTGGCATGGAACCCGGCAAATCTACAGGAAGACCACGACTTCTGACAGCAGCCATCCAATATTCACCTGTGTCCCTCCGACTTAAGACCCCGAAGGCTGAGTGTCCTCAAGCTCATCCTCATGGCTGCCCGGCTACGCTCAGCATGCCTGGAAGGATTTCTCTAACCCAGGGGACTTTTTTTGCTTTGCTTTGTTTTCCCCTCACATGGAGAAGGATTCCAAACACAAGAAAATGTCCCGGGGGGGGGGCGCGTGGAGGGGGGAGAGATGCCCTTTTCCTCACACACATCTGGCCAGAATAGAAAAAAAATATACAAAAAATCAAGATGGCACCCAAGTGCAAAGATAGCGTCGTCGGGTTGGGGCTTGCTGGCCGGAGGGCCCACAGGGAAGCAGCCGAGGGGATGATGGAACCTTCTTCTCTCTCGTCCACCATCTGGCTCCTAGTTTCTCCTCCGGCGTTGAGTCTGCTTGCTGGGACACGCAGGCTGGACGCAGAAGGCGTAACCAACAAGGCTAGCTCTCTCTTCCTTCAGAGCGGCAGCGGGGAGGGGGTTTTGTTGTGTATTTAGGTGTGCATTCGGTGGGAAACGGGGCCATGTTTGTGTGTGTGTGTGTGTGTGTGTGCACATGCCTGTGTGTATACTCTGGGTGCATTGCTTCATCTTCAGGCTCCCATCTTTCCTTCTCTCCTACTTCAGGGCAAGAGGCTATGGAGACACCTTGATAAGGGTTTCTTGCACAAGCCGAACACTGCCAGGAAGACAGCTCTGGGAAGGAAGGGCCTCACCAACCAACCAACCTCAGGGGGACAGAGGCCGGCTCCACGTGCGGCATCCGGGAGGGAGGGTCCTATCAGCACAGATGGGCTGCGGTTTGCATCTTGACCACACTGGAGGTTCAGGGCTCAGATCTCTGCGGTGACGCGGGGCTGGCTGGGTTGCGGGGGGCGGGGGCTGGGGGAATGTTTCACGGGGAAAATGCAGGGGGCTCCTGGACTAACGAGCCCCCTTCAGCCGCTGCTTTAATGGCGCTCTGCTTCGGATTGGATTTTCTTCTTAAATTTGATTGAATCCAATTCTAATTGGATTGAACTAGCTGTGTCTTGGGCTTCCTGCCAGCTGGCGGGTGCGTGCCTTCATTTCCTTCCCGGGGAGCTTGCTGCCAGGGGAGAAGGGACCAGAGCCACGGCGCTCAGTGAGCGCGGGAGCCTCCCAGCTCCCGCCCTCTGTGCGCGGTTGGGGGTGGACGTGGCCGCGCCTCCCGGCCCTGAAGCTCTGGATCTGTACCCAGTCAGGCCGCCCTTAGTCTTGGCTTGCTCTCTAGTGACGGTAACTCCAGGAAGCATTTCCCCTCCTAGGCACATCAATGGCAGACACAGAAGGCCGAAGCCCCTCTCCTAGCTCTCCCAGCCCATCCGCGCTCTCCCGTCTCTGAGCCCCGGGGGCTGGGGACTGTCAAGGATTCACTTTAACTCTGCCAGACCTCCCTGCTGGGAGCTCAAACTCTGGTGACAAATCCTCCACCCAGGACTTCGGCACGGGTGTGGACGAGACACACGGCTGGTCCCGGCCGGCCTTCATGTAGATTCTCTTGGAGAGGAGAGGGCCTGGGTGGCCGGGGAGCCCAGTGGTTTCCTTCACCAGCCCCACCTGGAGAGGGGTGTGGTGGGGGCTGGGCCTGGCGCCGCCTCTGTGCTTGGACTGCAGCCATGTGTCTGCTCTGGGGAACTGAGCTAATGGAGACCAGAAGCCACAGCTAGGGAGCTGGTGAGACCATCCGTCACCGCCGAGAGATGTCACAAGACAGAGCATGCCCGTCACCCACGGTGGCCAACGTGAACAATGACAGTGGTACGGAGGGCCAGCTGGGTCCCATGAAGCGTGTCACCGACGGCTGGGCTCGAGGCCCCTAGCAAATCAGTATTGATTGGGTGAGGGATGGAGCGTGTGGGGGACTCCCGAGTCCATTTCCACGGCTCATTTGCAGCTATTTGTGGATCCGCACAGGGTGGTGAAACCAGACTCGGCCTGGTCCAGCCAAGGGAGAGCCCGGGATGCTGGCTCGGTTCTGTTCCCTTTTGCAGGGTCTCAGTGCCACTTTCTTTTTATTTTTTGCATCTGTGATTTTGCAGCTTAAAGCCAAGGGGTGCTTCTCAGGGCAAGAAGGCCGTGGTGCTGTGGTGCGTTCTGTCTGGTGCTCCAGCCGCAAAACACACGCGAAACAAAGCCGGGGTCTGACTGGTTACTAAAAGATAGGGACCTATAAGGACCTAACTGCTGTTTGCAGGAAGCTAACCCTGTATTTCTTCTAGGGTAAATGTGGTGTGTGTGTGTGTGCACGTGTGTGTGCACTAATCCAGCGTTCATGGTTAATCCATTGCGATCACCCAACCACCAGGTCCTCTGCCTCTTGCGGGGGTGAGTAAAGGACGCGGCCGTTGATTACCCACGAAAGAGAACCCGGTGCTGTGCCCGCAAAAAGCCTGCGTGTAAAGCCATCTGCTGGCAATCCCAAAAGTCAGACGCAGAGTTCAGACTTCCGCGGTGCCAACCACAGGCGCAGTCTCAAGACTCTCACGGCCGGCCGCGGCTGTCATTTTAGCGATTGAATAACAGTCCGGAGTGGATATTTCTGGAGGGAGGGAGTCGCTGGGAAGTGGTGATCATCTCTACAGTCCTAGGATTTCCCCGGGGTCAGTAGGAAGGTGGCGATCGATGGGTGATCGCACCACAGAGCCCAGGAGATGAGAATTCTTCAGCCTCAGAAATAAGGCGTTCGGCGTACAGCGAGGCCCTGGACCAAGGGCATGGCACTCTGTCTTCATAAACGGAACGCCCCGAGCTGTTTCACCTTTCTTTGCTGACCAAAGGGCACAAATTGGTGAGGACCAGTTACTGTCCCGGGCCGTGAGGTATTATGAATATAGCAATACTATTCACGGATGGATGTAAGGTTCCACAACTCCACTCTTCCAGTTCCAGAACATTCTGAGACGTCAGTGCTTCTGGCTGGCTCCGCTTCCCTCAATCTCAAAGCCCTGCAGGGCCCCGGTCCCTGACCGAGCCCCCTGCCCTGCCCTGGGCCTTCCTCCGGGCTGGAGTCCTGTCGCGGCTTCCTTGGGCGCTCTGGGCGGCTGCCCTCGCCTCTGCCCTGCCCTCTGTCCTTCCAGCCACAGCTGCAGCTTCTGCGCCTCACCTCCTGCCCGCGGCTTACACCAAGGGATGAGCCGGTCAGACGGGCAGGCTGAGGCCAGCCGGAGCCCCTCCGTGCCCGTCGTGAGAGCCGAGGTTGCTTCTTCCCCTAATCTCCCTCTTCTTCCTGTGGAACGGGGGTCTGAGGATGGCCCGCCCATGGAGTTGCGGTGAGTGTTCGGTGAGCCGGTCGAACTCAAGCATGGAGCCTGGCCCAGCATGGCAGGGACCGCTCGCGCCGTCCCCTGTGACGGCAAATGTCCCGGGCTCTGAGGCTTGGCAGAATTCTTCGGCTTAGCTGCAAGTCTAGCTGGTGAATCCCTTGAGTGCTCTTATATTGTCCCGACTAATCGGAAAACAAAAAAAGCCATGACCAGGCCGGGCGCCGGTGGCTCACGCCTGTCACCCTAGCCACTCAGGAGGCTGAGATCTGAGAATTGGGGTTCAAAGCCAGCCCAGGCAGGAAACTCCATGAGACTCTGATCTCCCATGAACCACCAGAAAACCAGAAGTGGCGCTGGGGCTCAAGCGGTAGAGGTTTGTCAAAAGGCCAAGCCGCCTGGCCTCGGCACCCGGGGGGACCGAGCCGGGGTGGGCGGATTTCTGTCTCCCGGCCCCTTCCCCCTAGGTGTTTGTTTTTCCTTCTCGGTGGAGATTCATCTGTCAGTGCAGGGCCATTTTCTTGTGTTGGACATGCAATCGAAACCCCTTCCACCTTCCAGGCAGCTCACAACGGGCCTGCGCTGTTGTGTTCTCTGCGCTCACCGACCGGCAGGCCCAGCCTCCCCGGGCCAGGAGGGTGACACCGTGGGAGGTGGCCAGGCCGGTCCCCAGTCTGCCCTGCAGGGCAGCGCCCTGGCCCCTGAAGCCTGCTAAGTCCCCGCGTGGCTGGGAGAGACCTCAGAGCAGCCCGGTCAGCGGAGTGGCACAGACAGAATGCCCACCCCCAGACAGCCGCGGCAGCAGAGTCCGCCGCCCGCCAAGGGGCCACCAGGGAGGTTTCGGGGTCGGGCCGTGGCGTGGCTGGTATGGGGTGCTCAGGCTGAAGGTGTTTACGTATGTATGCACTTTTCTTTTTGGATCGAATCCAGGGCCTGCACCGGCCAGGCAAGCGCCCCGTGATCGAGACACAGCCCCTGCTCTGCGTCCGGCTGGGCCTGAGGGAAAGTGATCTGGTGGCTGGGGTTGTGGCTCAGGTGGCGCAGTGCCTGCTCAGCAAGCAAGGGGCCCCTAGGGGTCACATCCCAGTACCATCATGAAGGAAATAAAAAGAAGCAGTCTGGACTCTGCCCATTCAGCCTGAGAACGGCAAGGGGCCGAAAACACCAGGTGAGGGCATGGGACCCGCTCCCGGGGTCCCTGGGGCCGGAAGGGGCTCGGAGGGGGGCGGGTGGATCTGCCCGTGTGTCAGGTTCCTATCCCAGCCAGGCCAAGGCCTTTGCCTGTCAAGCTCCCGTGGTGACCCCTTCATCCCAAATGCATCAGAGCCAGGAAGAAAAAGAAAAGAAAAAAAAAAGAATAGCACTAGAAGTAGAAGGAAAAAAAATAGATATAAATGGAAAAAAAAAATCAAGACCTTTTTCCTTGGTCCTGCTTACCCGCTAAGAACACCGAGAACCAAATTAAGAACAAAAAATGACCCTATGATGATTAGTGTAACAAAATAGATCCAGGGCCAGTCCCTTCCTACAGCATCATTGACCTGGAAGAACGGGATATTCGTTAGTGAGGCGCACACACACGCACACACACAGCCGCCGAGCAGGGCCAAGGGCCAGCCCTGGAACCCGGGATCCCCCCGGAGGGGCGAAGCCAAGGAGCCAAACGGCCTGTGCAGCCAATGGACCGGAATTGGTGGTTCCGAGGAGATTTTGGTTTGGTTTCGTTTGGTTGTTTGGTTGTCTCCGGCGTTCCCCGGCCGCGGGCAGTGGTGGCCGTGGGACCTTGCTCGGCCGCCTTGCCGCGAACACACGCGCGTGGTCGGCTTACCCGCTCAACACACCGAGAACCAGATTTAGAACGAAAAAGGATCCAAAGATGACCAGACTGACAAAATACACCCAGGGTAACTCATAGCCCATAGCGTCCTGCATCTGCAAAGACGAAGGAGAGTTAGGAGAGAGGAAGCGGAGCTGGGTTAGAGCAGAAAGGAAGCGTGGATGGCGTGCGGGACCACGCCCCAGGGCTCGGTCGGCTTTCCTACCGCCGAGGGTCTACCACGGCCTGGGCATTGCCTGCGGTCAGAAACACTGAGCTGTGACCTTGACCTGAGCCGTGAAGGGCACTGGCTGGCTCTACCTCAAGAGGAATCTTGCCTCTGTCTCTCTCTATTTTATTTTCTGGAAATGGCGGTGTTTTCTATTCACTTGTCTAAGAAACAGGGTCAGCTCACACAGCCCTTCCGCACGGTTCTTGGTAAACCTTCTGATGTCTGCGTCTCCCCCTCCCCGCTCCCCTGGCAGCTGAGCTCCGTGTCTGAAGTAGGCCAGCTGCCCGGACGGGGCCGGAGCAAACCTTACAGGACGTGTGGGCAGAGAGACGGTCCTACAGGCGGGCCACCGGGGGCTGGCCTGTGGCCACCAGCGAGAAGCTGAGCCGCGGGCCGGGCCGGGCCCTGTGGTCTTGGGTGGGAGAAGGGAACCCGTGGGCTGGTGACACGTGGCAACAAACCCCGCGCGGCTTGGAGCGGAAGGATGCCAGGGGACAGATCTCCAGGGTCCGTCCGCGGCCCCCGCTCTGCATGCCCCCCAGCCCCCCCGAGTCGTCCCCCAGGACAGTGGTGCTGTTCGCAGGGTGGTCCCCAAATCCACCAGCTCAGGGGCCCGTGGGGCCTATGCCTGCCTGACTCTGGTCATGGTTACAGGTCCATGAATCCTGACCCGCTGTTACTATTATTATTATTAATTATGATTGGTTAGTGAAAACCAGCAATGTGCGGTCACCGTGACTACCGCAAAAACAAAAAGAAGATTTAAGAAGTGCCCGTGGGCTGTGGGCTTGAACGGAGTCCCCGAAGGAGAGCTCTCCACGCTCTGTACGCTTTACTGCGGCCCTGGGTTTCTGGAACCTTCCCCGTCCTAGGCACCGGGGGCTCTATCTGTGGATGGTTGGCGGTGACACGGTGTGTGGTGTGGGCTGTCAGTCCCCAGTGCTCCCACAGGCCTTGCCCGGGGAGGCCGCAGCACATCCATGGAGTGGATGAATGAATGAACGTAAGACACGGCCAGGCGCTGCGCTCTAAATAGAGCCCTTCCTAGTGGAGGAATCACGGGCAAAAAGCAGCAGGGAGAAGAGAGGACCGGCCCACGCCTGCCGCAGCCAGGGCCAGGGCCGGCCGGGGCTGGGGGCTGGGGGGTGTGGTGAACTCAGCCCGAGGCCGAGCAGCCGGGGAGGGCTAGGACGCGGCCGGGACGGAGCGGGGGTTCCCTGGGAGCTTGGCCACTGTTAAAAACAGAGCGCGCAGCTGTGAGGCCTCCCTGGCTGCCCAGGGTTTTCTCCCGGGAGGGAGGACGAAAACGTGCAGCCAGCAGCAGCTGCGGGCAGAGGCGGGGAGGGGCGTGGGCAGAGGCCCGGGGCCATCCCGGGGGCCTGGGACCCTTCCTCTGGGCAGGAGGAGCCCTGTGATCAGAGTGAAGAAGACGCAGCAAAGGGATGCGCATGGATGTGGGCCGGGGGAAGGAGGGGCCGGGTCCCCAGGCCGCACTGCCACCTGGGACCTGGGACCTGGGGCGTGGGGGGGGACACAGCCCCGGGCGGGGGGCCCACTGACATCGGCCGGGGTCACAAGTGCTCTGTGGCTTTTCCTTTCAGAGTACTTCCTGCCGATGAAGGTTAGGCCAGCTTGTTCTCTCTAAATGATCACCTTTTCTTCTCTCTCCCCCTCCCCATCTTTCTCCCTCCCTTCCTTCTTTCCTCCCTCCCTCCCTCCCTCCCTCCCTCCCTCCCTCCCTCCCTCCCTTCCTGTCAGTCGTGGGGTTTGAACTCAGGCCTAGGAGCTGATGCGGTGTCAGCCATGGGCAGTGGCAGGCCCAAGTCTCCCAGGTGCCACCAGGGACTTCTGGCTCCTAAACCAATGTGGGCGGGAAGAGAACTGGGGCCTCCTTCAGCTCCCGGAAGGAAGGGTTCAAATCCAGGGACGGTATCCTAGCAGAGCCTTAGAGATCTGACAAGTTAAGTACGCAGGGAAGGACAGCCGGGAGGCAGAAGACGGGATCCTAACTTAGAACCTTCTGATTTGACGGCTTGGAGGCAGCCCGCCCCGGGCTGTGTTTATCTTTAGAAAACTCCCTGTGCGCTGCCAAGGCCTTGGAGATTGGAGAGTCCCTCGGGTTAGAGGTACAGGCTTAGAGGCCAGGAGGAGGCCTGAGGAGGGGAAGGCAGGAAGAGGCAGGGGGGAGAGGAAGTGACCTCTGAAGGCGAGGGATCCAGGGGCTGCTGGGAGCCGGTGCCTGGCCGGCTGCCGGTGCGGTGCGTTCTGGCCCGCGAGGGTTTTGGTTTTAGGGGCGTGTGCACTTGTGTGTGGGGCTAGGGAGGCGTTAGGAGACTGGGGTGAAGCGAGGCCAAGCCCGGGTTTGTTCCTCCACCTCTGGCACTTCCTCCACCCTCCCCTCTGCCAGGACTGAGTTCTAAACCTCCCCCCCCCACTCTGCCAGGACTGAGTTCTAACCCCCCCACTCTGCCAGGACTGAGTTCTAACCCCCCCCCCCCGTTCTGCCAGGACTGAGTTCTAACCCCCCCCCCCACTCTGCCAGGACTGAGTTCTAACCCCCCCCACTCTGCCAGGACTGAGTTCTAAACCCCCCCCCGCTCTGCCAGGACTGAGTTCTAACCCCCCCCCCACTCTGCCAGGACTGAGTTCTAGCCCCCCCCCCCCCGCTCTGCCAGGACTGAGTTCTAACCCCCTCCTACTCTGCCAGGACTGAGTTCTAACCCCCCCCCCCCCGCTCTGCCAGGACTGAGTTCTAACCTCCCCCCCACTCCGCCAGGACTGAGTTCTAACCCCCCTCCCGCTCTGCCAGGACTGAGTTCTAACCCCCCCCCCCCCACTCTGCCAGGACTGAGTTCTAACCCCCCCCCTGTTCTGCCAGGATTGAGTTCTAACCCCCCCCTACTCCGCCAGGACTGAGTTCTAACCCCCCCCCCACTCTGCCAGGACTGAGTTCTACCCCCCCCCCCCCCGCTCTGTCAGGACTGAGTTCTAACCCCCCCCCCACTCTGCCAGGACTGAGTTCTAGCCCCCCACCCCCGCTCTGCCAGGACTGAGTTCTAACCCCCCCCTGCTCTGCCAGGACTGAGTTCTAACCCCCCCCCCACTCTGCCAGGACTGAGTTCTAACCCCCACCCCCACTCTGCCAGGACTGAGTTCTAACCCCCCCCCCCCGCTCTGCCAGTACTGAGTTCTAACCCCCCCCCCCCGCTCTGCCAGGACTGAGTTCTAACCCCCCCCCCACTCTGCCAGGACTGAGTTCTAGCCCCCCCCCCGCTCTGTCAGGACTGAGTTCTAGCCCCTCCATGCCAGGACTGAGTTCTAACCCCCCCCACTCTGCCAGGACTGAGTTCTAACCCCCCCACTCTGCCAGGACTGAGTTCTAACCCCCCCCACTCTGCCAGGACTGAGTTCTAACCCCCCCCACTCTGCCAGGACTGAGTTCTAACCCCCCCCATGCCAGGACTGAGTTCTAACCCCCCCCACTCTGCCAGGACTGAGTTCTAACCCCCCCCCATGCCAGGACTGAGTTCTAACCCCCCCCATGCCAGGACTGAGTTCTAGCTCCCCCACTCTGCCAGGACTGAGTTCTAGCCCCCCCCATGCCAGGACTGAGTTCTAGCCCCCCCCCCACTCTGCCAGGACTGAGTTCTAGCTCCCCCACTCTGCCAGGACTGAGTTCTAGCCCCCCATCTCCTCCGCCCCCCGCCCAGGGGAGCAGGGACAACACAGCTGCTGAAAATTGGCGGTTGCCGCTGAGCGTGGCGTGTGCTCCTCCCGTGTCCCCCCCCCAGGGCTCTCAGTCGCTATGACAATACTTCT